GACAAATTTATATATATATATATATATATATATATGCCAACTTGCAGCAAGTTATGTTTTTGGTTATCATCTAAAGTACATTTTTTGGTGCAAAACAGTGACATTGCATGTGTTTATATTTGCTAAGGAGTTGCAGTGGGGTTTCACATGGGGGGAAAAAAGAAAAAGCAACACCACAGGAATTTGCATTATAGGTTTCAAGCAGTATTTATTTTAAGGTATTCCTGTTCAGAAAATAAGGGAGGAGAAAATGGAAATTTATAGAAATATCCTCAGCACCTGATTTACCACTGCTGCATTAGAGGCAGTTGCTGCTGCAGAAATTTAATGTCAGGTGTAAAATATGTGACTCTGCTGTCAGTGTGCCAGCTGTTAGTCATCTGAGATCTCATCAGAGTCAAGAACATGTTTGAGGAAGGACATGGTGTTTTTAAACTGAGATAATGTAATTATTTGAAGTTTGGGAACCTCTGAATCTGGTCGCTTCAGCAGACATTTGGGCTGCAGCTAGTCCGTTTCCACCCGCTCCTCTCGCCATTCATTGATGGCTCACCACCTGCGCTTGAGTGCCGAGAGGCTCCTCCAGCTGAGGCTACTCGCTCACACCCCCACTGCAGCTGTGCAGGCTGCTTGCAGATTCCAATTTTATCCTGACTCAGTGAGCTGCTCCTTTCAGACTTGCATCTTGGATTGGACTGTGGTTGGTCTGCGTGAGAAGTGCGAGCAAGTAGTATTGCTTTCCATTGCAGAGACTCCAAAGCCTTGCTCTTTCAACTTCCCTTATGGGCTGATGCTCCAATGAGTGGCAGCCTCTGCAGGCTATTGCAGCACACCTCTTCCTTTGACATAGAGCTCCCTTTTGCTGATCCTCTGATGGAGCTAGTTCATTCTCCTGTTGGAGATCCCCCCTCCTCCTCCTCTGCTGGTGTGGCTGCAGTCTCTTGTTCAGAGCCTAGGTCAGACCTTCTGTTTCCTCTCTCTCTCTCTCTCTCTCTGATGTCCTGTCTACTGGGCACCAGAACACCTGTTCTCTCCTCCTTTTCTTTTAATTTGGGCACCAGGCTGCCACCCTCTTGCTTCTTCGGCAAGACGGCCGGGTCATCTGTTTCTTTTCTGTCCTTTAGAGGCACCGTGCTGCCCCCTACCTTGTCAGGTGCAGGTACCAGGTTACCTGTGG